TTTTATTTAAATATTTTAAAATTTAAAAAATATAGATCATAAGTATATTTTTGTTAATTTTTCAGGCAAATTTGCCTAGAAATGGTCTACAGTTTAAGGGATATTATCAATACTGTTATTATATCTATACTTAAATATAGATTATACAATATTATTATACTCTATTTTATATACAATAAAATTCTTGCTAAATATTTAATAGTGGCCAAATGCAAATCTTATTTAGCATATTCAATTTTCAATAGCATTATGCTTAATTTATACTTGTATAATATTTACAATATATAGGATATTCAACTTTAACACTATATTACTAACTTTTTACTGCAAATCAACAACTCCAACCTGTTAAGAATTTTAATACATATTAGATTGCAACAGCTTAAAAACAATCTATAATAGGGGTGTGACGACCTAGTGAAGTGGATAGATTGTCAACCCCAAGTAGCAGGTCTAGAGTTCAAATCTCAATGACAGCGAAAATTTGCAATTCTTTCTGTATTATAGCTAACTGTCTTCTATGATTGTTTGGGATAAGATATCTGTAACCTGTATCATACCAGCATGACTGGAAGGTTTAAGACACTCGTACAATGTTGTATAAGGGAACACAAATCGGTACTAGGCAGTGTGAACCCAAGATAAGTCCTTAGGCCATGTAAATCAAGGGAACCAAGTAGAAAGATAGAAGCCTATTTGGAAGACCCGAGTAGAGAGGTAACTTAAACCTTTAATGATGCTACTGTAAAGACTAAACTTATGAAATGAAGCTAGAACTTATGAAACTGGGCAAATGTGCTAGTTTTTGAGGAGGAACCAGATGAACCAACCAGGCCACTGGAATTTTCAGAAAAGAGCACATGCTGGCAAACATGTGAATCAGAAGTGTATAGTTTCGACCTACCTTTCTAGGCTATCTGAAATGGCAGCTTGGTAGAACTTGAATTGAATACCAAAGTAGTAAGGATATGTTGTGAAGTCAGTATCAGGGTTGGGATGAACTTTACAAGGGCATAGCGGTTTAATGGTATGCCCTGACCACCAGTGTTGGTCTTGGCTATAGCGATATCAGGTTAGCTGTAAGAATGGAATACAGAAGATTCTGAAAGGTTTAGTACAAGATTAAAGGTTCTCTATGTAAGTGAACTGCTTTAAAGACTTAGTGATTATGATATATTTGAACCGATATCGACCAGAGCATCTTGGTAGGTGTAAGTAGGTGGGTAGATACAGGAACAGAGTGGTTAAATAGGGAATCTACAAGTGGGTTCCAGATATGGCAGCTAGTGTAGAACCTTCAGGCAGACTACTTAAATCAGACAATGACTAAAGTTGTATAGTGGCTAGTTGTACACTCTTTCCATAGTTGCCCTCTATGGTTGTAATGCAACCATTAGCTGAATGTACTATCAATAAAATCCTAGATCGCAAGTATTCACCTTAATATTTAAAAAAAAAAAAACAATCTATAATTAACTACTAATATACTTCAACACTTTAATCTTATTATTAATAGTCCTAATAGATATACTTTAAATTTTAAAATTATTTAAATACTAATATACTTAAATATATTTATAATAGCTAACTCTAATATCTCTTGGCTAAACATTATATTATACAATTTTCAATTATTAAAATTAATTTTATCTTAATATTCACAATATATTAGCTTTAAAAAAAACTCATTAGAAATTTTAATATTTTATATTTTAAACAGCTTTGTACAATTGAACTATTATGGTTTACTTATTTAAAAAACATTGTAATAGCTTATAATAACTACAGAATCCTTCTTTTATACTACTAACAACTAAAATATTACTTATTTGTATACAGCTTATAATATATTTCTAAAAAATCCAAACTCTAGTTACTTATATACATTGAAGCACTAACCAAATATCTATTATATACTTGCAAGCAAATATTGATATAAATCACTTTGGTTATTATCTTCTTTATTAGCTTAATACTTATCCTATTTAGGCTGTTATTTAAACTTTAACAAAATTTAAAATTTATATATACTTAATGTATCTACTATTATTTTTTTTTAATTTCTAAAAAGAGTTAACTCTAACTAATAAACTTTAATGTTAACTATATAGACCTCATCTATTCAACAGCTATTAAATATCTATTATCAATTTCTTTAGCTCCAACTATTTTAATTCCTAACTCTTATATATTTGAAATATTAAAATTAGTAAAATAGCAAATGTACTTGAATAATATTTAATTCTTAATAGTTCTTAATAACAATTTAACTTTTATATTAATAACTCAGTAATTAATATTGAAACTAACTAATGTATAATAGCCATTTGCTAAGTCCAGATCAATAACAATAATCAAATACAGTCACACCTCCCTAAGTGCATGCTCTGGGCACTAGGTATAAGTATGCATTTAGTGAGAGTATGCATTTATATAATTAATGCAATTACATTCCTCTAAATGTATATCTTAGAAATTAAATATATATATGCATTTAGAAAAAATAGATTATACAATAAATTTAAATAAAAATTTAGTTTGTTTAAAAGTTTTTATTGTATAGTATAATGGAATAAAATATAATTATAATTTTGCATAATAAGGTTATAACAGTATCTCAATATAAAAAAATTTATTATACCAGTTTTTAAATAGATCATAACAATACTTTGCACTTTTAGACTTAACAATATAAAATTAAATTTCATACAGGTTAGTAATTTATACCTATTGTATTTTTTCACAATTGACATTTTTAGATTTCCTTAAAAAATAAGAATTAATTATAGGAATTTTAAATAAGCTATATATTTACCAACAAAAAATTCCTTTACTTAATTTAGTAAGACAGGTTATAATTAAATATTTTATTTTTAAAAAACAAGAACTATAATGAAATGAGGTCAAAATCAAGATCATACTATTTTTTTAATATATAATACTGTAACACTATCATTACTTTAATTATATAGCATTATTTTATTATTTTCAACAACAGTACATATAAATTTAGTAACAATAAAAAAATTTTTTGCTTTTAATTATGATAAGTATAAAGACTGTTCAAAAATGAGAACTTAAGCCCTAAGAATTTTTAGGATCTAGTTAGCAAGAGTGCATAATTAAGGATGCAATTATTTAAATTTAGATGCATTTTTATATATAAATTCATACAATTTAAATTATTAAATATTAAATTTACCTTTCATTTTATAAAGTCTAATTTCTTATTTCATCTTGATTTTAGTTCAATTCTGGGTTTGTGCTTAAAACCAAAATTTATACCAAGTTCTATATAGAAAGTCACTTATATATAGTATATATATCTCATACAATATGAACTTTTTATTAATCTACTCATGATTATTATTATCTTCTAATGACTATTTTTATATACATTTTCTACATACCATTTTAATAAATTTAACAGCCTTCTTTGAACTTACCCAATTAAATATAATAGATTTTTTTCTTGCATGTAGAATCAAATTCATTAAAATGTGTAATTTAGCAAAACTTCGTATGACATAAAACTTCATTTACTTATTTGTAAAAATGACATATTATAAAAGCAAAAAAAAAAAATTGTAAAATTTTCATTTGGTTAAAAATCTATAAAAAACTTTAAATAAACTTATCTTATACATAATTTTTTTTTTTTTGTTCAAAAAAAAAAAATGCCCAAGAGAACAACTCTTAATGATACACAAAAACATGAGCTTTGTGTATATGCTCATGATAATAAAAAAACTTAATTCTAATATATTGATTGGATTAAGAATAAGTGAAATCTTAGTATTAATGAAAGTACAGTCTCGCATATTTTGAAGACAAGTGAAGAATGACTTAAAAATGAAATTATTAATTCTAATACAAAGCATTATAGAACTGTTACTTATTCAGAACTTGATCTTGCCCTCAAAAAGTTCATGCTAATTTATCAGCATCAGACAATTTTAAGTGATGCTTTACTTGATAAAAAAGCAAAGACACTTGCTGATAGTTTGGAAATTCCTCAAGGAGCATTAAACTTCTCTTCTAGTTGGCTTTATAAATTTAAAAATCAAAATAGTATTTATCTATACTTGCTTCAAGAAGAATTTGTATCTGCTAATGAAGTAGCAATTAGCAATATTATATTAGTATTAAAAAATATATATACAAATTATTCTGCTAAAAGAATCTATGACATGGATGAAACTGGTCTTTTTTATTAGTATAAGTCTTTATTTTGTTTTTGTTATCAAATTTTAAAAATTTGCTATCTCTTGGCATATATAAGTAACTGTCAAGAAAAAATGTTCCTTTAGGCTTTGAAGGCCTGAAGGAACATTTTCCTTTAGCAGTACTTATATGCATTTTTTTTTTTTTTTATATTACTAACATTTACCTTTAGATTACAACCTGATAAAATGTTAGCAACTTAACATTTTTTTGAACATAAAATAAATAAGGAATGCCTCTCAATTGCACTTTGTGCAAATGATGACAGTTCACATAAATTGAATTCTCTTGTAATTGGAAAATATAAAAAACCATACTGCTTTAAGAATATCAATATTAGTAATTTGTATGTAAAATATAAAAACAGTACAAAAGCTTGGATGATTATATCACTCTTTTAAGAATAGGTTAAAGATTTTGATTGCCAAGTTGGTCTTAGATATCAGGGTCAATATGTACTTTTACTTCTTAACAACTGCCCTAGCCATAATATTACTAATGTTAATCTCCAATATACAGATATATAATTTTTGCTACTAAATACAACTTCAAAAATTCAGCCTATAGATACTAGGGTTATCATAAGCTTTAAGAGGTATTATTGTCAATTTTATATTTGGTAAGCTTGTTTTTTTTTGTTTTTTTTCTTAAAGAAAAAAATATTTTTGCATAAAATTGGTAAAATATGTATTAGATATTATACTAATTAAATCTTTAAGTTGAATACTACAAGAAGTTGAAAAAAAAAAAAATCAGAAGATTTAAAAATAAATATATTACAAGTTATCTATTATATCATTGAAAGTTGGAATGAAGTTAATGTTAATACTATTTGAAATTGTTGACATCACACAAAAATTCTTTCTGAAGATACTAATTCTTACTTATGAAGTTCCTTAGAAGAACATCGTTAAGCCACAGACTCTGTGCTTAATGACATTGCAGATGCACTTAATGCTCTTAACTTCTTTGACTCTATACAAGTTGATGAATTTTTGGCAATTCCTAAAGAAAACATTGTTTATGAAGTCCCTTCAGATAATTGATTTATAACAAAGCTTGTTAAAACATTCAGAATTAATGATTCAATCATCACTGACTTGGAAGATGCAAATGGTAGCTTTAAAATCCTTGTAGTTAGTGCTGATATGACAAATGCAAGTTTGAAGACCATATGTATATTTTTACTTCAGGAGGATAATATAGAAGAATAGATCAATATCCTAAAAAGAATTGAAAATTTTATTAGAAGAACAAAGGTGGGCCAAATGCAACAAAGCAAAATTGATCAATTTTTTATAGAAGAAAATTGAATAGAAATTTTTGAATGTTTCATATAATGTTTTATATAATAAAGATCTAGATTGTTTTTTTTTTCTGCTTGGTTATAAAGAAAAAAAAAGATTTTATTCTTTATACTTGTAAAAGTGTACACATATAAATAAAATTAATATGAACAAAATTATGTGATATTTTTATAATCTTGTGATCTCAAGATTATCTAATTGAATTTAATACAATTACAATTTATATACTATCACTAATATTTATGTTAAATCAACTTCACATGAAATTTTTTACAAACCTGTTTTGGCAAAATTTCATATATATGTTTTTTGTTCCCAATTGTTTGAATTGTGATTAAAAGGCATTCATATGATTGACTAATTTATATCAAGTAACTCAAGAACAAAGTCCTAATCGAAATCCTTATTTATGAAGTTTGGACCAAAAGAATCAGACTTTTAACAACTCTACTAATATTTTATACATTTAAACCACTAGAATAAGACTAGCTTTATTTATTTTTTATAGGAAGTGAACTTGTTTTCAACTAGTCCTAGACCAGACTTTTAGGAACCAAACTAGGACCAAACTAAATACATCTAATAAAGTGTATTTTTATTGGCTAGTTTTTAATATTAGTCACATGTATACATATATAGGAGCATATATATATATTTAGAATCCCAACATTTTGTGCATATACAAAATATAGGAAGTGTCTAAGTCCTGAGTTTAGAACCAAACTATAGTATGCATATAGAGAAGGTTTGTACTTAGTGAGCATGCACTTAGGAGAATACGACTGTATGTACATATGTACAGTTATTGGCAAAAGTAATCACTGATTTTTTTTTTTTTTTTTTTTTTTAGGTAACCTCTTGGGTCTTTTGACTTTTATTAATCACTTATCAGTATTGTGGTTCAATGAACCACTACAGGAGAGCATACAATTGGCTACACATGTAACTTTTCTATATTACTTATTTAAGGAGTTCGCTCAAAGGTTCTCTACCAATTGCTGTACCTAACACTTCTGCTTAGGTGTTCTACTTTAAACCCTTTGAACCTGTAATCTGTGTTAACATCATTGGTTATCACTGATGTACCAGATCATCATCCTCAACCTTAGGACTAATTTATCTTTGAAGTAAACCTCCAGAGCCTTCTGTACCCATTTTTACAGCTAACCTAGGTATCACTATGGCAGAACCAACACTTGCAGTCAGGGCTAACCATTAAACCGCTATGTCCTTGTAGAGTTCACTTAGACCCCAGCATCTACTTCATAGCATAACCCCGGTACTTTAGTATATCTCTGCCTTTTCCTTCACCCTTTTACCAGACTCTCAATCCAGATAGCCCGTGTAGAACTACGACCAGTCTATCAGTATATCGGGTCAGCCTAATATCCTTTTCCTCTGATTCGTTCTGGCAGCCTAATTGGTGATATCTCCAAGACTCCCAACCTGGAGGTTCTTGCCCATCTGGCTACTAGGACTGGGTACTAGACCTAGGTATTCATTTTGCCAGGCTAGCCTTTACAGTAGGGCTGTCGAAGATCCAGATACCTCTCTACTCGGGTCTTTCTAAATAGACTTCTTATTACCCAATTTTAACAGATTTACATGACCATGAGGACTTATCTAGTGTTTGTACTGCCCAATATGTCGGTTTGCATTCCTCTGTGAAACTGCAACATTGCACAGATGCCTCATGACCTGCCAGTCATGCTGGTGTGACTGCCATTGCAGGTATCCTAACCCAACCATTAGTAACAGTTGCCATAATACAAATATTACATAGGTAGTTATCCAAATTTTTTGACATCGATGGGATTTGAACACCCAACCTACCACTTGGGGTGTTGACAACCTGACCACTTCACTAGGTCGCCACACCCTTATAACCAGCTATTAATATAAACAAAAACAAACAACATATTATATTATACTAAACAACAAATAGTAATAATAACTAGCTTTATTAAAAAATAACAGATAAGTATAGCATATAAAATAAGCAGATAGATAAATAACAAAATAGTCTAAAAATAGAAATACAAACTAGATTAGGACTACTATATAACACAAATCTAATTTAATATATTAAAGATTTTAGTAATAAAAATAGAAGATATATAAATAGCAAGATACTAGATATAGTTCTATCAAATCTATAAGAAAACCTAATAATTTAGAGTATATAATAAGAAACCTAGCAATTTATAATCAATAAACATTATAGCAAATATTTGCTTCTTTATAGCCAAATACTAGAAGTACTTAAAATAACAAAAACATGCACAGTTTTACATAGTACTATAGAAAAATAGATAAAGAAACTATTATTAATAAACATAAATCCTGGGCTTTTAGTTATCAAGTAAATACAAATAAGAGAGAAACATCAAAAAAAGTAACAAAATTAAAAAAAATAAAAGATTAAAAAAAACTAAAGAAATAGAAGTGCTTTTATCTAAAAAGAAAAAATATTAAGAAATTAATAATAAAATAAAAGAAATAAATTAAGATCCAAAAGGAGTTATAAGATAAAAAGAAAAACTAAATATTTTAACTACTTAGCAATAAGGCTTCAAAGATTTTAAAACAAAACTATAAAAAAACTACTAACTGAGATAATAAGAAGTGAAGTTAGTAATTAGAAGAAAAGAAATAAAAAGAACTAAGAAGGGTTAACAGAGGACAGAATATGCAAACTTAAAAAAACATCAAAGATAATAACAAAACTAAAGACAAAAGAAGTAAAACAAAATCTTTAAAATTGACAAATACAATAAAGCAAAGTAGTTACCAAAAAACTATATATATGACAGAAATAAATCCTTTAAAGCAAACATGCTAATATATATAGTGCTAGATAAAAACAAAAAAGAAAAAGTTAAATATGCTTAGTAGATCTTTCAAGAAAATTATCATATTAAATTGATTCAAGAACTATTCAAAAATAAAAATAGTTAAGTAAAAGTAAACTTTGACTGTAAGATGCAGCAATAGAGAGAATTAAAAAAAAGAATATAAATAGCTTAAAATTATTCTAAAAGAACCAAAAAAACTAAAAAAGAAAACAAAAGCAACAAGTACTAAGAAGTAAAAAAAAAAAAGTAAAAAAATTCAAGAACTCTATTAGAGAAGAAAAAGGTGAAAACAATGAAGATGGCTGCACAATTGAAGCTAAAAGTAGAGTCACATTTACAATATAGGATCTACAAGCTAATATCAATACAGAAGTAGTAGATTATATGTGCAAAAGTATTAAAAAAGCCTATATAAAATATATTAAAAAGTCTAAATACAAAGTATTAATATTAATTAAAGCAAGAAAACTAAAAAAGAAGTATCCTGTGATTATTGCCAATAGAAATGCACAAACTTACAAGAATAACAATAGGTAAAGAAGATTGTAATTAATATAATATGCAAAATCAATTCACAACATAATTAATAAAGCTTTCAGAGAATGCATTAGAAGTATTATTATTATAATACTTAAAGAAAAAGAGTGCAAAATTAGTATATATACTATCTAATAGAAATGAAAACCAAAGAAAATTAGCTACAATTATATTCACATCAGTAGAAAAAATAAAACAGCACAAACAAAATTAATAAAATTTAATAACTATTTATATTTTGGTAAGATCACAAAAAAAAAAAATAAGAAATATATAAACAAGACTAAAGAAAAAAGGTATATTAACAAAGATAGTACTAGTGAAGGTTCAAATATAGAAGCTTATAGTAATATTAATTGTGATAAAAGAAGAAAGAAAAATAATAAACATTACAATAGCTACAAGAAAACCAAACTGAAAATAAAGAAGCATAATTATAGATACACAATCTTCTCCAAAAAATAGTAAAAAAGTTAGAAAGATTAAAAACTAAACAAAACCAGATGGTTCTGGCTGATCACTTTTATGAATATATCAGTTGAATTAATAAACTTAAATGAGAAGATTAGAGACTTTATATAAAATGAAAGAAGAGTTGTTGAAGAAGAAAAAAAAATCTTTTAGTTTAAAAAAAAAAAAACAAAAATAAAGAAAAAAAGATAAAGAACAAAGCAACAATATGAAAAAAGTTAAAAAAAAAGTAAAAATAAAAAAAAAAAAATTAAAATAGCATGTTAAAATAGGGATAAAGTCCCATAACCTAGTAGTCTAGGCACCTCTTCCTTTACAAACAAGGTTAATGATTCAATTTCAGCTAGAGGCAAAACTCTGTAATCTATAGAAGTATATAAATATATGTGAAGTTCTGTAGCTTAAGTTCATGTAAATAGAAGATTAATATACAAAAAAGTTTTCAAAAAGAAGTTTTCCATTATTGAGAGTTGATGCTTGATATAAAAGAAGCATTTAACATATTAAAAATGAAAAGAAGGTACACTAGTGAGTGATATAGTGAACATAAAAGAAAACTATAGAAAAGGAATAAACTTACTAAAATTTGAACATCTCTGGCACCAAAAACTAGTTTAGTAGATATAAGATATACTAAATTGGATAAATCTAAGAGGTAATCTTAGTACCATACTTATTAAGTTTGCATTAAGAGTAAATTTAAAGGAATATGAATACTTAGTAACATTCAATAAGATGGTACTTTGATATAAATAGTAACTAAGATAGTCCTAACCCAAATGTTACTACAATAGTAATGTAAGTATTGTAGATATATATACAAATAGTATTGAAAAACAGAAAGTTTAAATAGGGAACTCACAAGTGGGTCTTAGG